AATTGGAAGCATGTTTTTCAGTTTTTTTAAATGCTTTTAGCATTTTATTACCGTTGCTTTAAGTACAATATTTAAAATAAAATTAAAAAAAATAGAAAATGTGTTTGCAAAGCACGCTTTCAACGTAAGTTTTTTTTTTTATTAATAAAAATGGGATTTTTTTTAGGATCCATGATATTAAGATCTTATAGCATAAATGATATCAAATATTTTCATAACGTCTAAAGTCCAACACACATCAATCTAGAGAGATTTCAATCCCCAAAGAAATTCTCTCTGAATTTCTCTCCAAATTTCTCTAGACTTCCCACTGTCCAGAGAAATTCTCTTCAAATTTCTTTGGACTTTTCTCCAAATCTCTGTGGACTTCCCACTGTCAAGAGAAATTTTGTCCAAATTTCTCTAGACTTCTTTCCAAATTTCTCTAAACCTCCAACTCTCCAGAGAAATTCTCTCTAAATTTCTCTAGGCAAAGTAAGTTCAAGTCTCAGATTGGCCTAAACTCTTTCTCTCTCTCTAATTTTTTTGTCTTTGGATGTATGGTTGCAGAAGAAACTTCTGATTCTCCAAATTTCTCACAGCTATTATTGGTCATTCAAAATCTCAAAATCAAAGAATTTCTTTGGTTACCTACCATGAAAGATTTCTTGGTTATCTAAACTCCTTTATTATTGGTTATTCAAAGTCAAACCAAACTAGAGAAAATTGGGCTACTTATAAACCAAAAACAATCATAATTTTCTCTGTGTTTTGAACAAACCAGAGAAAATTATGATTGTTTTTCTCTATGATTGTTTTTCTAAAAAGCATTTTATCAAATAGGTTAGCTTCAAAGCTCACAACCATATGTTTTACAGTTCTAAGAAGAGTTTTGTTAAATCAAATTTCACAGTTATGTGTTTTGGAGTTCTAAGAAGCATTTTGTCGAACAACTTAACTTCATGCTATATATATAGATGTTTGCGTGTGCATGAGTTGTGAGAGATGGAGACTTTGTTCCAAGACCAGTAGAGGATGAAGCCGGATGAGAAACAACTAAGAGAAGCTTATTAGGGCTTTTCGAACATGAAAGTGATAGCATCACTTCCATCATCGGCCTTGATGGTGATGATATCATTGTTCACTCCCACCATTGGGTTGTCTTCTCATCGCAGTACGTTTCGATTCTGATATCGGTGAAATCGTCCATGGATAAAGATGCTTTGAGCTTCGCTTGACGAAGGAGAGAGAGTTAGAGAAGACGACGATGACGATGACGATGAACTCTGGCGATGGAGGTGGAGTTCGTCGGAGAGAGAAGAGCAAAGAAAGAGAGGAAGAGAGGGAGAGGCAGTTTAATTTGAGGGAACCAAATTTCTCTGTGATATATAGGTGTCGGGGGTTGAGAGATCTTAGACATCATAAAATAATATCGTGAATTTCTTCCATTATTAAAAATGGGAGAGAGATCTTAGACTAATTTTTCCTAATAAAAACGTGCTTTGTAAATACGCTTTCAACTTATTTTTTTTTTTTAATGTTTTTAACATTTTATTATCATTACTTTCAACAGAAATATTTGTTTAAATAGAAGGTTTCAACATAATTTTTCTAAACAGGTTTCGTCACAAGTTATTTTTATTTTTATTTTTAAATATAAAATTCAACATAATTTTTTTAAAAACATAAGGCAAATTTTATTAAAATAAAAAAAAGCAAAAAGTAAAAACATTTTCTATTAAAAAAAACATGCTTTAAATTTTTTTTTTGAAAGTGGGTTTTTCAATGTAAAAAAAATTATGTTGAAATTTCTATTTAAAAATAATAAATAAAATAAAATAAAAAAACTTGTGTTGAAAGTTTGTTTAAAAAATATATGTTGAAAGTTTGTTTCTATTAAAAAAAAAAATTGTTTTGAAAGTGTTTGCACCACATTTTTTATTTTATTTTCCCGATTGTGGCTTATTAATTATGGTTAAGTTTGATTATATTCTATCGATTGAAATCATAAACTATTTTTAAGGAATAATCTTGACCACATTCATTATTATTATTATTATTTCTATCGACAGGCATAGTAACGTGGCATGACAGATGTGTTAAGGACATAGCATGATGACATGTTAAATGAAGGGGTTTAAAAGTTAGCTATTGCAGCAATTTGAAAGTTAGTTACTAAGATCAAGGAGACAAGATCAAATCAAGCACCAAATCTACAAAATGGTTCCTATGAAACACATGATATGAATAATGTTGTAGAAATCATGAAATTGTTGAGGAAATCATGGGCTTAGGTTATTTGTTTTCTTATGTAGCGGAGCCTATAAATAGGCTAAGAGAGATTCCAAGAAAATAGTCCAACAACCACTTACAAATTGTGAAGAATTATTTAGGAATAGTTTAAGTTTGCCATTTTAGGAATAAATTAAGTAATAGTTTTCCAACCCCAATTTTTATTCTTTCTATCAATTGCTATATTTTTCCATTTCTTTGTTCTCATTAAGTTCCTATAACTAGTAACCAGTGACAATTTAATTGAATAAATAGATATTCTATTATATTCCATTGCTTTTTTTATTTAATTACCTCCAAGAAAGTCTTTAATTTGTTTTAGGCATAAAACTTAACCACAAAGTTTGATTTTTTATATTTATTTGAAAATTTGTTTAAGTTTGTCGATCAATTACTGTCGATTGGGTTTAAACTAAATTTTTATTAACAGAAAGTAACAATAATAAAATGTTGAGAGTATTAAATTTTTTTTTAAAAAAATACTAAATAAATATAATTTTTCCCCTATAAAAATTTTTAAATTTCACATTTTACAAAAAAAAAAAAAATAATAATAATAAAAAAAATAAAAGAAATAAAAAAAGGAACTAATGTCCAACTTGGGGCTTTTCCCAAACTAAGCCTTTTTTGCATTCTATTTCCCAAACTAGGCCTAGTTTGGACGGAATTCCCAAACTAAGCTAAAATGCTATTACAAATCGCGCTTTCACTGTTTGGAGCATAAAATTTGATGAATAGTGAAAGCGCTATTGTAAAATGCGCTTTTAATTAATAAATCGCTGTTTTAAATCGCGCTTTTAACATAAAATTTTTTTTCTAAAGAAAACGCTATTTGAAATAGCGCTTTCACTGTACATATAATTTTTCTTTTTTTTTTTAAAAAAACGTTATTTGAAATAACGTTTTTACTGTTGAAACAACCACCAAAACCAACACATAATGCACACAATCACCAACACACCCAACCCACACTTTGAACCATTAAAATAATATAATTTTTATATATAAATAATAATTTATAAATAATAAATTATATAATTTTTATAATTTTCATAAATATAAATCATTTTTAGGTTATGGATGGTTTGATTATAACACGTATGTAAGGATAAAAATTTTTGTAATAAAAAATAATTTTTGCAATTTTTTATAATCAAAAAATAATTTATAAATTACCAAAAATAATTATAATACGTATGTATTTACTTTAAATAAATTATATATAATACGTATGTATTATATATATATAATTTTTATATATTTACTTTAATAAATTATTTTTGATACGTATGTATATATATATACTTAAATAAATTATTAATATATATAATAATTATTTTGTAAATAAATTATAATAAATTTTATAAACACGTATGTATTATAAATTTTTTTATAATAATTCATAATACGTATGTATTTTAAATCTTTACATTTTATTATTTAAAATTTTTTACAGTAAACCCATCTTCACATTTTATAATACGTAGCATTATTCAAAAATAATTTATAAAAATTTATATTAATACGTATGTAAATAATTTAATACATATCTTCACATTTACATTTACAGTAAACTCATCTTCACACATTTAATACGTATGGTTTAAGGGTAAAATTTTTGATAAATGATAAATCAACCATCCATAACTTAAAATTTTTACTCCTTAATACGTATGCGTTTAAATAATTTATAAAAATTATTGCCATCGTATTGTAAAAATTGATTATAAAAAATTTGCAAAAATTATTTATAAATTGATTATAATCTTTATAAATTATTTAAAATATATAATAAATAATTATTAATAAAAATTTAATCAATTTATTTTATAAAGTAATCAATTTGTTTTTACAATCAATAATTTTTTATTAATAAATTATTATATATTTATTAATAATTTATTTTTAAATTAAATATATAAATATATAAAAATTAAATATATATAATACATATGTATCAATAATTTATTTAAAGTAAATATATTAAAAATTATATATATAATACAACGTTTATATAATAGTTATTTAAAGTAAAATACATACGTATTATAATTATTATAAAATTTTTTTTATAATACATACGTATTAATAAAATTATTTTTGGTAATTTATAAATTTATTTTTGATTATAAAATTACAAAAATTATTTTTGATTACAATAAATCTTTTAATCCTTACATAATGTTATACATCAAACATCCATAACCTAAAAATGATTTATATTTATTGAAAATTATAAAAAATTATTATAATTACTATTTAAATTATTATATATTATAAAAATTATATTTATTTTATGGTTCAAAAGTGTGGGTTGGGTGTGTGTGGGTGGGCGTATGTGTTTGGTTTGGTTTTCAAACAGTAGAAACGTTATTTGAAATAACTTTTGTCTACAAAAAAAAAAAAAAAAAAAACGCATTTTACAATAGCGCTTTTACTATTCATCAAATTTAGGCTCCAACAGTGAAAGCGCAATTTGTAATACACGTTTTTAGCTTCAGTTAAAAAAATTGCCTTACAAACTAGGCTTAATTTGAAAAAATAAAAATGCAAAAAAATGCTTAGTTTGAAAAAAGGACCGTCCAACTTCCCCAACAACCCTAAAAGTGTAACACTAGCAGCGTTTTGACCCATTCCTAACATTTGTTTAAAAAAAGCATTCAGTTCATTAAATTTGAATAAATAATGGGCGTGTTCTAGCGACAACAGAAGCATCGAAACCCAAATCCCCTACTAAACCCTAGAACCCCCTAATGTTTATTTGCTTCCACATTGCAGAAGTTGAGGGCGTGAAGCCCCCCGACAAGTGCTGTTTTAGGTTACACGATGTGTAGGGAGATGGCAGCAACGGAGGTAGTCGAGGAAGAACAGGGAGAGATGAACAGCAACAACAGCAGCAGCAACGTGATGTGCCAATTGACGGACCCAGAGGGAAATCCATTGGGCGTTGCCATGTACCTTCCTCAGAGTGCCGGTCGTAAAGAGCTTCAAATAATGGTCAATAAGCTCCTCAACAACGTAAGCTCTCTTTTTTTCTACTCTACAACAAGTGTTTTTGCTTTCACATAAGTAAATTTTTTTTTTTTGGGTTTAAAATTTCGCTTCTGAGCAGAAAATTAGAAAAACTACTTATTAAGCCTCCTTTGCGAACAGATTTTTCTAGTAATTTTTTAGTTTTTGGCTAAAATATGAGCTAAAAAAAATTAGTAAGGTTGGGATGAGTTTTTTATTTTTTCCGAAAATATATGCAAAAAGTAGAGAAAAAATAGAATTTTTACTTTTTGGTATATGTTACAGGCTTTTTAGTTTTTTTTTAGTAAATTTTTTACTTTTAGCTTAAACAAGCAATGCCGAACGGGGCTGATGATAGTCGGGTACTTTTTAATTTTTAATTTTTTTTTTTGATTTTTTATGGGCATATTGAATTATTTTGTTTGGATTAACTAATTCAAAATTTGCTAATTTGAACCATTACAATGGCTAAAAAGATGCAGGTTTTCTAGTAATTTTTTAGTTTTTGGCTACAATATGAGCTAAAAAAAATTAGTAAGGATGGGATGAGTTTTTTATTTTTTACGAAAATATATGCAAAAAGTAGAGAAAAAATAGAATTTTGACTTTTTGGTATATGTTATAGGCTTTTTAGTTTTTTTTAGTAAATTTTTTACTTTGAGCTTAAACAAGCAATGCGGAACGGGGCCGATGATTGTCGGGTACTTTTTAATTTTTAATTTTTTTTTGTTTTTTTATGGGCATATTGAATTATTTTGTTTGGATTAACTAATTCAAAATTTGCTAATTTGAACCATTACAATGGCTAAAAAGATGCAGGCAAATTTATTTTTGAATTATCATTTTGTGTGTGTGTGTGTGCGCGCATTTTTTGGGACTGCCAAATGGGCCCTTAATTGATGCGAGAAGTGCTTTTATTGCTTTTGAAAGCTATTTCTGTATTTTTTTTTATTGGGTCGGATATGTGAAATCGGTTAACTTAGCTCATTATTTTTATTTTTGAAAATATAATTGGTTAAATTACATTGGATTCATGAGCTATTTTGACCAAAGTTTCGCCAATTACACCCCCCACCCCCCCAAAAAAAAGAGGGGAAATTGTCGTTTGAAATTACGAATGTAGATTTTCCCTTATTTTGGTTGAATTTTGTCAATATGTGGCGGAATATACTCTGATTTGATTTCATTAGTGAATTCATTTCCAAGTTTGACTGCAAACCATGATCCTAGTGTGGACACAAACAGAGCAAAAATAAGCATGATGAGATCATTCTAGTTTGTTCATATAGATGCAGGTTCCAAAATATATTATAGTTTGTTGAAGTGGTGGGTTGGAAAATATATGCTCAATGAAGTACTTGTTTGGTTGACGTGTGGAACTTGATTGTTTCAATTATTTATTTATTTATTTGTTTGTTCGTGTCACTGATGCAAATTAATTATTGAGAAATCTTTCATTACTGAAATTGGCTGCCTTACATGACAATTAAATGATAATACTACATCAATTGGCAAATTTTTAGATATGATCCTCTGCCATAAGTAGTAGTGACAACTCCCATTTACTCTAAACAGCCCATTTTTGGAGATGGATTTGATTCTTGTAAGTGTCATCAAAAGGTTCATCTTTAGAAGTTTGTACCAAATGAACAATTTGGTTTTCAGGGATTTTTAAACGGATTTATTAGGAATAATGTTTTGCCTTGTATTTGAGGATTGTGGAGATGATTATGCTTTCTATGAACTAACCAGTAATAAACTTTTAGCTTTTGGTTTGTTCAGGAGGAAAAGTTACCTTATGCTTTCTATGTATCAGACCAAGAGCTTGTTGTGCAACTTGGATCATATTTACAGAAAAACAAAGGTTTAGTGAAATAAATTAAAAATGGTGACTTTCTAGCATCTACAATGATCTGGTCATAAATTTTAATTAATTTTGGATTCCTACATGCTTAATATGAGGTTTTATTAATTTTTTTACTGACTATTTATGCAGTTTCTGTGGAGAAGGTACTGACAATAGTTTATCAACCTCAAGCTGTTTTTCGAATTCGTCCAGTTAGTCGTTGTACTGCAACAATTGCAGGTAATTTTTTTTGTTCGAGAGGTGGAAAATTTAAGAAAACAAGTTTTCAACTAGAGTATGTAGAGACTAGTAGCCTTTGTACTTCATCAATTTCAAAGCTAAACATGAATCTTTAGATTAATTAAAAAAAAAGAAGATTTCCCAATAAAATAAATGAGGAAATACTAGTCACAGAGAGAGAGAGAGAGAGAGAGAGAGAACAATATTTGAGGAAAAATCTAATGAGAAAAACCATGGACATGTGAAGCACGGACAATCTAAGAAAGTAACACGTCGTGTTGGACATTGACACGACAGGACACGACACTCGTCAAACACTTCCCAAGACTATACAAACATGAAACATATTGCAAGTTTACAAGTTTAGTTGCGTGAAGCGGGAGCGGGAGCGGGAGCGTGGCTACTTAGAAGAGTCGTAGGTTGGGTTGGGAGTGCTTATGTATTATTTTTATTGATAATATTTTTAATATATATAGAAAAAGTTATCCCAACTAAAAGGCCTAAATTTTTATTGTTGAACAAAGTTTATATATAGGTCCAAACTTTTTATTTATTTATTTGGGTCCAGCCCATTAGGGTTTAGTGTACAAACCAGTCAGTCAAACTCTCACTCTTCTCCTCTCTGTAACACAGCACAACACGATGGAGACTCTATTCTCTTCTCTTACACACGTACAACACGATCGAGAGACAGAGAGATTGAGAGAGAGGAGATTGAGATAGAGATTGTGAGAGAGAAGAAGATCGAGAGAGACAGAGAGATCGAGATATTGAGATCATGTTTCTCTTGCATCAGAAGTGCAATTCTTATACGATTCTTCCTCAGAAGCGCAAAATTGCGCTTCTTCCCTAGAAATGTGAGTCCCTTCCATGATTCTTGCTACTAAGGAATAAACTAACTTGGAATCCCATGATAAAGAAGAAAATATACTCATTTTTCTTCTTTAGACTTCAAAAAATTATTATCTTTGACTTTAATATTCATATATATGACATAATTATTATTTATCCTTATATATATGATATTATAAATCTATGTCACCAAAAAAAATAATATGGATATATACAATTTTATATTTTCCATGTGTTGGCCATGTGTCGTGTCTTACATTTTTGAAAATTTTCATGTCGGCATGTCCGTGTTGTGTCACGTGTCCGTTTCCGTGATTTGTAGGACTCGACAAATCCACAAGTATATCATGACTAACTACAAAGCTTACCGAAGCCCAAACATGAGTATCATACCTACTCAAGCCAAGAGCAGTTCCAAAAGGGTTAGGCAAAACAGTAACTAGAATTTGTGTGCAAATAGGGAGGGGCTAGAATATTCTATCTATTTATCTATTATGTAGAAAGTTTTACAGACAAAAAGAACTACAAGTCATCATTGGCATTGCACTAGCTAAAAGGTGGATAGAAAATTTTGTTGGAAGAGTTCCATTTTGTTTGCAGCCTTTATTGCTTTGCAGTTGGACAACTTAGCATTCACAAAGGAAAAAAAGAGTGTTTCTTTACGAAAGTTCTGCAATAGTGAGAAAATATTTTCTGTTCTTTCAGGCAATGTGGATCTACTGCAGTATTTTTTTTTTTTTTGGGTGTAAATATTGATTTGAATACAACTTATTCAAAAAGGTGTCTTGTTATATGCCTCGTGGAAATATACTTTTACATTGTTAAGAGGACTTAAACCTGAGGCTTTTACTTGGGGAGTGACCAATCCATAGCTGTGGGGTGTCCCCTTGAGGATTTTATCATAAAACTGCTTTACTATGCTTAATCTTCCATATCAATATTTTTTATTCTAATGTTATGAATATTCTGGTTTACCAAATTTAATATGTGATGATAGTTTAGTTCTATTCTTATGCTAACTATATAACAGTTCTGTCCATTGTCTTTTCTCCTTTTTACTAATAGTTTTGTCACTGCAGGTCACACGGAAGCTGTACTTTCAGTTGCATTTAGTCCTGATGGTAGACATTTGGCAAGTGGTTCAGGTGACACCACTGTCCGATTGTGGGACTTGACCACCCAAACACCGATGTTTACATGTACAGGTTAGAGGCTCATATTTGTAATAAAGTCCTACCTTGTTTTTGTTAACTTGTTACCTAACAGCATTGTCATCCTTGAAAACAATGTAATGTTAGAGAACATTTCTAACGGATTACAAAGTGGCTAAAAGTACATCATTGTAGGAGCTTATGTTCATGTATTTCACGTGGATTTTAGTTAGGCAGAAAAGCTAATATGACACAGAGAACATTTACACTAAAGAGAGTAGGCTTTTGAGAACATAATATAAACGATTTGGGTGTGGCTAGGTATATTGTGAGGGAGAATTTATGTTCAGAGCATGGGAAAGCTTGAAATTGAAAATTTATGAATTTTTTTTTTTACTACGATTTAGTCACGATCACAAATGTGCCAACCACTTGTTGGTGTTAAGGAACCCAATTGTCCTAAAAGCTTAAGTTATATGGAAATGAGTTCAATAATGTATATCTATTAAGCTACCCAACACCTTCCTTCATGCGCAACCCCCTCATGTATTTGAAGACGCAAACATACATACGTAGAGAGAAAGCATAATGCAAATGGGGACAGAGGCAAACAGTTGAACCTAAAACTTCCTAAAACCTAGTTTTGATATTGTGTTAAGATACTAATCCTCTCAAAAGCTTAAGTTGTTAGGAAATAGGCCTATCAATTTATGGCCCTGTTTGGGAATAGGCTATTTTAGTTGGCTATTTGGCTTTTTACGAAAATATGTGTAAAAAAGTAGAGAGAGTGATGTGATGGGGTGTTTTGTTTTATTGGCTATTTTAGCCCATCCCAAACACCCCCTATATCAAGTTATCCAATAGTAAGGAACGCATTAGTCACTATTTATCCTAAAATCAATGGTGATGATACCCATGGTTGTAGGATGAGGAGGGGGCTGGTGAGAACTTTGGTTGTGGTAGAGCGAGGAAGAGGTTTTTCCCAAAACTCTGTAGTGGCTGGGCTATGAGTGGTCTGGTTGGGTAAGAAATTGAAGGATGCATCACATCGGTCTCCAAGGAGGGAGGTTTTTATGGAGTTTCAAATGGGGATATTTACTTATTTATTTTTTTTTTTGGGGGGGGGGGGGGGGGGGGGGGTGTGTGTGTGTGTGTGTGTGTGTTGAGACCTAATTTCTAGATGACCATGGCTTTGAAGAGGAGCCACAAAGAGGTTGTAGACTTGACATTAGGGTAGTAGAAGCTGAGGAGGTTACTTTGACAATTTAGCTATCAAGTGCTTTGCCTTGTGTTTGATGGTTCGCTCCAAGGAGTTCATTTTGTTAGTGAAGAAGGCTAGGGTAATCTGGGATTGGTTGGATAAGGTTGTTATGGGGGCCGTAGTTTGGTTTGGTGCAGGATTGGCGACATCGACGAAACTTGAGAAGATGGAGGGTCCTACCTCTTAAGTGAAGGGCGAGCACGAGGGGACTGGTGGTAGTGTGGTTTAGAATCGACAACTTTGTAATGAAGGATGAGGAAGGGTTTCATGATTGGTCGAATGAGTGGCAATGGTGTTTGTAGCTCATTTGTTGAAGGCACATGTTCATGACATTTGGGTTATGGGAAATGTGGAGGTGAGATTTGAAATGTGAAGGAGTGGTTTATAGATGGGTGTTTGACATGGGATGTAGATGGGAGGAGGCCACGTGGTGTAGATATGAGGAATTGGGTTTGGGAAATTCATGCAATTGGGTCGAGTTTGGTTTTCCATGGTCTTGGTCAACGTCTTCTCTTAGGCCTTATGTCTTTGAGAGGTGCTTTGATGACTCTAAAGATGGGAGGCCTAATTTCTATTTGGGCCTTGGCGGTTTAGAGTTGGGTTCTTTCTAAGCAGGTTGGTTTTAGTTAGGTAAAGGTAAAAAGCCCATTGATAAAGGAAGGTAAGGAGGGAGAAGCATAGTCAGAGGAGAAGGTGGCCTGCAACTTCTTGAGATAGAAGGGTGGTTTAAGGGTCATCGAAATCTCTGACCTCTTCACAACAATTTGTTAACGAGGGTTTGAACCAAAATTTTAGTGGTAACAAATGGTGAACTTGAGTTCTATTGTTACTGATAAAAAAAGTGGTGGGCCTTAGTTGAAGCCGAGCAAGAAGGCAAGGGTGGATTGGAGTGGGGCGGTGGCGGTGGTGGTGTAAGTCAAGGGTGATGTGGGAATTGAGGTTTTGCAAGAGGGTAAGGTCTTCGAGACGGGCGGGTTATATGGTACTTCAGTCAAATAGTGAGGTGGAGTTCGAAGAGTTGTGGTTTGATGATAATTTCTGTCAAACGTATCTGCTCCTAAAGCAAAGAAAGGCTGTGGGAGTGTTGGGCAATATTGATGAAAGTGGGTTATATATGCCTTGTCCTTCGTTGGTTGCTTTACCTTTAGAGTTGAGGAGGTCGTGATTGAGGAGGTTTTGAAGGCTAAGGAGGAATGGAACACTTGGATGAATGAATGGAGTTTGTGATTTGTTGGGGATATAATTTGGAGGTTTTGAGAAAGAAGGTCTTCGACTAAAGGAGGATATTGATAAAAGAGGTGGATGCAAGAAGCTAACAGGAAGTGCAAGGGTAGGGGCTCCTTTGCATCTTGGAAGGAGAGGAGTTAAAAGGCCTGCAGTTCTTGATCAATTATAACTACAGGAAAGATAATACAAATTCTATTCACTTTTGTTTGTTTGCCTTTTTATTTCCTTTGTTGAAGAGGATTTTCGTTTCGTTTCCTTTGTTTGTTTGCCTTTTTATTTCCTTGAATGTATTTGTTGGTGCCTGCTTGGCACACTTTTAATACAAATTCTATTCACTTTTGAAAAAAGGAATGTGTTATTCAAGTGTTACAAAATGTACCACTCACTTGAGATTATCATCAATTGCAATTTTTTATTTTTATAATTATGAATCAATACTATGTAAATATGAAGTACTAGAATAAATTAGAGTTAATGTTTTCCTACGATCTTGTCACACCTAGGGTTTTTGGAATAATAATTTAAATGAACATGTTATTCGATTTAGCCATGTGGGTGATTAGAAAATTGTTGAATAGTCAAATTAAGCAGTCTATTTGTTAGGAAACAGATCAACTGACTACATGGAAACATCTTACAATCCTATTCATTTCTATGGTGACGTGCGAGTGATCATGGGCAAAAAATTCAAGTATATAATTTGAAACAACATTTTTGTATAGCAAAGATAAAATTTTCACTTACTATCTTTGAAACCCGACCACTATGCCTTTAGAAGAAATAAACCAACTTCCTGATTTTCTCAAACTCTATTTAGATAAAATTCATATCACAACCACAAACTTAATCACACACACGAGAAAGTTTGTAGTGCACATAAGTAGCTGTTTGCTCTTAGATCATGTGAAACGAGCAGTCTGTCTCGACATGACTGCTTGAGTGAACATTTCACTTCTTGATCAGTGAATGCAAGCTTCCAAGATCTTTGCTTTAGGCCTGAGATACCGGGAGTATGAAAAGATGGCTCGAGCAGCATCACCACTGCTGGAGTAGTTTCCAAGGTTAACCCTCACCAAAAATTGTATCAACACCTATATTCAAAACTCAACAACAGTAACTCTAGATACATTTTCGGAACTCAAAATAAATTGGCAAGGAGTTGAAATGGTCAACCCACAACCAACAAAATTCAACCACATGTTAATAAGATACTAGAGTGACTTTAATAATTTATAATAAACGGATTTTAAAGACCGGGGTCATTACAGATCTTGTGCCCACTACAGACTTTCTCTTGCTTGGTAGCTATTGTTTTGTCTTTTTGTTGTGATTTATACTTTTAAGAGGTTCCATCCCAGTTGGGAGTGTGGTTCTTTCTGATGAGAGCAAGCTTGTAATGTGATTCTTACTTTGAGGTGTGGAACTGCTGTTCTGAAGTGAATTTGCACCCCGCAATGGGAGGTTGTTGCAACTATATAATTCCCAAATATGTGACCAGTACATTTGTGAATCTTGACTAAATTGCAATTTTGGAAAAGTGGTTGTGACCAAATCATAAATTAAATTAAAAAATGTTTATAAATTTTAATTTCAAGCTTTTGAAGTCCTTCACCTGTCTGAATTCACCCTAATATTTATTTGTTATATCATTTATGTTGATGGTATGCCAGATAGAATGTCAATTAGTACTAAAAGATTCTCTTTGTGGTTATGAAAATGAGTAGCATGGAACATTAGATCCCATTTTTGAAAACTACATGCCTGGTGCATACCATGTTATACTGCCTTTTACTGAAGGCATATTTCGTTCAATCTTCTGTTTGTGATACCCTGAAAAGTAGGGGAATTCTGTCATCTAGGTTCGAAGGAAGGCTTCCTGATTTAGTGTTTCTAGCCGCTAACAGCAGACAGAGAGGGAACATTCCTCTCTGACCTTGACTCGAGTATAATGACATTCATCCTCTCATTAGAAACTTGAAACCCAATTTAGTCTCTATTTATGTGCGTGTGAGAGGGGTTGCAGATGAAATATGCTAATTAGTGTTTACTAATTTTCAGGGATTTAGGTCTCTACTTAGAGCTACCTGTATGATATCTGAATTGTTGTAGGAGGATACATCTCTTGCTTGTCTATATTTCTTTGGCCTCTTTTCGTTTTTAAATCCATAAAAGGAGTTTGTTTTATTGATTAATTGTCATCACCTGCTACAGAATATCTGTGAACTCAAGGGTGTGATGATTAAAAATGTTGCAAAACTGCAGTATTCTTCAGCAGTCTGACATGCTTTGTTTTGGTTATTACCCTTTTTTTATATTTTTATTTTACTTATACAATAGATTTTAATTATGTTAACAGAATTCGTTAGACATCTGATACGAAGCACGGATACTTTAAAGAGGGTGACGTATCCATATCATATCCGTATTAGATACCGATACTCCTTGGATACTCGCGGATACATATCGGATACTTCTTAAGTAATTTTTCATTAATTTTGGAGTATCGGATACTTAATTTTGAAGTATCGGATACTCCAAGTCAAGTTTTTATTTTTTTACAAAATTAGAATTATAGTATTTCTTGCATAGCATTGTAATATAATATAAATGCAAGGATAAATATGCGAATTTTTTTTCTAATACTTTGTTTAGTTCTTTGATAAGAAGAACATAGTGGGTTAAAGTAATAGAATTTATTATAGGGGACATTCATGAAACGATAAGGAAAAGGCAAAATAATTAAATATCAATAAATAAATCAACAAGTAAACTTGAATCCAACATTTTTTATTAGTGCTAAAGGAAAAGGCGAAAGGACAAGTTGTGATTGTTCTATTAATAAAATATAAACATATTAGAGTCGATATTGAAATGAAATATTTACAAGACCCATTAAAAATTTAAAAGATAAACAATAAATACCTAATTCTTAAAAGTTAGTATTTTGCATGATAAAATTATAGTGTGATTTCTCAACATTCTTTAGCTTCTATGTAACTCACTACTAATAATTTTTAAAAAAAAAAAATCTATTTTTTAACAAACGTATCCTAGTTATGCCCGTTATCCTATTTTTTTTTTTAGATTTTGGAGTATCGTCGTATTAATATCGTATCCTTATCTTGTATACGTATCCATGCTTGATATTAGTTAATGTGGTTACCATATTTTTCTTTTTCTTTGTTGTTTTTTCATTTTAATATGGTTATTGCCTTAAAAATTTTATGTTTGCCTTTTCCCCTCTTGAATAGAGAACAATTTAAATTTTTTTATTTCTTAGATTTGAATTGGTAGTGATTTAAGTGTGGCATAGGAGATTTTAGGACGATGTTTTTGGTAGCGTATTGCTTCCCCTCCCTCCCCCCTCTCTTTTTAATTCTGGGTTTTAATATATAGAAAGAGTCCTAATAGGAATACTATTTTTTCATGTTATCAGGTCACAAGAATTGGGTTCTTTGTATTGCGTGGTCACCTGACGGTAAGCATCTTGTCAGTGGAAGTAAGGCTGGAGAGCTTCAATGCTGGGACCCTCAAACAGGAAAGCCATCTGGCAATCCACTTATTGTAATGTCTTCGCATTCAAATGCCTTCCGTTGTATATTATCATTCTTTGTTGCTTTAAATGCTTACTACAATGTGCTTTTGGAAAACTAAGAAATCCGATCTTGGTGCCCTTGTCATATGGACCTCGAGCATTTCATATCATAATTCCTTGTGCTTGATTTGGATGTGTGTGTGTTTTGCCTCTCTTGAGTGGCCTCTTTTGGCTGCATTCATGCTCAAATGATTCTACTTACATTTGATTGAAATCTGAACTCCTATAAAAACCTTTGCTTTCCCTGATTTGGCACTGTGCTGTATGCTGCTGCTGCTTTGTCCATCATTAGGAGAATATAACATGTGGAATAGGGAATGCAATCAAATTTTGTCTCCTGTAATTCATAGCCATTACATGTGTCTTTGTGGCAGCCACTGACTGAAGCATGTGCGCTGGGAACAAAAGCCACTGTGCAGTACAATGCATTTTTAATTTCTGTGAAGTTTTTATCATCTTGATGCCGCTGCATCAGCTTACGTATTATTGGCTACAAATCTACTGCCTACTGGTACACGTAGAGGAATTTTTTGAGATTGTTTTTGCACTGTTGCTAGTGTGGTTCTCGTAATATTACGATCAATATTTATTTATCCTTCAAATTTTCTTTATGGGGCCAGCCTTGTTGATCAAGTGGCATGAAAATTTCAGAGGTCCAAGGTTTATTGATAAAATAATCAGCTTAGAGTTTTTAGGTGCCTCTAAAACTTCAAGTAGGGAGCAGCAATCTGTAAAATTGTTTGTAATTTATCCTCTAGTCTGTTAGCTGTATGTACTTCTGTTAACATAGGCTAAGCAACTCCTGCAACAGAAAGCTAATCATTTGTGGATAACTCAGGCTTTATAAGAGTTAGAAGGTCAATTTTGTCCTTTTTTTTCCCCCCTTTTCATGCACTGTTTAGATGGGCATAGATTTCTCTTGCAGCAGAGTTTTGTTGTTGCCCTTGCACCAAAGATGAAGTTTCAGGTTTCAGTTTTCTGACTGCATTTACAGTCCTACCCAAGGAAATAAAGGCTTCGCTTTTATGGCCAAAGGGCTCCAATCTTTTGAATTTATTTGTCTCCCAGAGCTTCTAAGCTTTCTTGTTTCAACTCAACCTTATGTTGAACGGCATGGGAATACTCAATATATTTCTGTCGATATTGGTTTTATGATTGGTTGTAAAAGCATGTGGTCTAGAATAGTGGATGAAAGTTTCAAGATTTCTAGTTGAGAAAGGTTGAAATTAATTTTGTTCTGATGGCGGGTCATTTGTTTCTAGTTATAGTTAGGTTGGAATTTGTTTGCTTTGTGTGATACTTGTTTGAGTTTTGAAGAATTATAACCAGAAGGTAACTTGGGTTTTGTTGCTAAGGAATTGTGTTCTTCATTTTTGACTCTTTTTATGTTTAGTGGGTGATGTCAGCTTCCATTCTCTAGTTGTTGGATGGGTGTCAGTTGGAGAGGAAGAAGAAATCTTGGAGGGTGATGCTTGTGTCATGTGGTGCTTGTGGAGGGAAATTGTAAAGATATTGAGATGGTGAAGCAAAAGTTAAGGATGTGTTTATTTATAGTTTCCATTTTTGATGTTACGGGAATTTTTGTGAATCCTCTTATGCTCTTGTATATTTTATATGAGAGCTCAATTTTGGTGTCGAGCTTCTATACGTTCATAGAGCTTTTTTGTACAAAAATTGCACCCTTTTAGACTCCTATAGTTTACTTCAATTGCACTAACCTCCCTTGAGGGAAGCAACACAAGCCCCATCAAGCAAATCATGGAGCTGTCAAGGGTTAATTCTCCTTTTCTTTTTTAGCATGTTTGCATTGTCAGCTTCTCTTTCTTGTTTAGTTTAATATTTTTAGGTTTTCTCGTTGGTAGGATGGTTGGCCTTTAGCATCGATGTTGCTCTTTCAAGGAGATAGATGGCTGCTCCAATTTGTTGGTGATTGTGTTGAAGGAGAGTCTAGATGTGTTGCTTGCCCACTTATGATAGTGCTTGGTTGTGGACTGTGATTTAGTTCAACTGGATGATCAAAGGGTGTGGTGGTGGGGGTGGGGTAGAGGATGTTTTGGGAATGACTTTGGTTTGTCCACCTGTAGTTGTTTTGCCTGCGGATGAGGGGGATTGGAGTTGATCATAGCAAAGTCTTTGAATGGGTTTAAAGAAAATTGAGGGCTTTTGTGGATTATGGGTGTTGAGGAAGAGATAACGTGATTATTTGAATTGATTAAAGCAAGACGACATAGTTTGACTCATAACAAAGGTCTTTGGAAAAAAGGAATCCAAAGAAGAACGCTAGATAGGGAGTTATAAAAATTGGAGTGGTTCGTTAACTACGAAGGGAAGGCAAAGGAGGGAGATGGGGGTGAGAAAGGAAAGGGCAAAGAATTGTTGCAATTGTTAATGAAGTTAAAATCATTAGTTGGAATGAGAAGGGGCTTGACACCATTGATTATAGAAAGGTGTTGAAGGTTTTTTTTAAGGTGTGGAAGCTAGATTTAATTTGCTTTCAAGAAACAAAGATGGAAGATATAGAGATGATGGTGGCTAGGACCTTATGGGGTGGTCGGTTTGTGGATTGAGATTTTTTAGGAGTTGTGGGTAGTTCTGGTGGTATCTTGTTAGTGTGGAAAATAGGGTCTTGGAGCCGGGTTGATAGCGAAATAGAGTTTTTCCATTTTTTGCATCTTTAGGTGTGTGGAGTAGGATTGTAGATGGACCTTTATGGGGTTAGTTGGCCCATCGGATGGTATGGTTAGGGAAGGGTATGTGGATTCAGCTAGTGGACATTCCTTGTAGATGTGATGGTCCCTAGTGTATTAGAGGGTTTTTTTTTTAACATTGTATGGTTCTTGGCTAAAAGGTTGAATTGTAGTAATCTTTTCAGGTTGATGAGAGATTTCTCATATTTTATTGATGAGTTGGACCTTATAGATTTGCTCCTTTTGGGAGGTCACTTTCCCTAGTCTTGTGGTAATGTGGAGACCTCTTTGTTTTGTATTAATAGATTTTTTGGTTTCAGCGGATTGGGATGAACCTTTCTTGAGGTAATGTAGTCTATTCTTCTGAGGTTTGTGCCAGATCTTTGCCCTATCTTGTTTGGATTGTTGAGCTATTAGGAGGGGGAGGGGCCTTTTTAGATTTGAAAACATATGGCCAAGTTGTATGGTTCTTGGCTACAAGGTTGAATTGTAGTAATCTTTTCAGGTTGATGAGAGATTTCTTATATTTTATTGATGAGTTGGACCTTATAGATTTGCTTATTTTGGGAGGTCACTTTCCCTAGTCTTGTGGTAATGTGGAGACCTCTTTGTTTTGTATTAATAGATTTTTTGGTTTCAGCGGATTGGGATGAACCTTTCTTGAGGTAATGTAGTCTATTCTTCTGAGGTTTGTGCCAGATCTTTGCCCTATCTTGTTTGGATTGTTGAGCTATTAGGAGGGGGAGGGGCCTTTTTAGATTTGAAAACATATGGCCAAGGTTTTGAAAACCAGACCGGACCGGCCGGTTCGATCGGTTGAACCGTCGACCGGTCGAGGTTTCGGTCCGGACATACCCTCTGAACCGGCCAAAACTCAAAACCGGCGTATTTAATGAGAACCGGAAAAACCGGCGGTTGAACCGGCGAACCGGTTGACCCGAAGCCAGTTCGCCGGGTTGTCCGGCTCGTTTTTTTTTTTTTTATAGTTTTTCTTTCTTTTTTTTTTTTCTTTCTTATATAAGAATATTTTAATTTGAAACTCTTTTTCAAGGCTTTCCTCTTGTGAGGAATCCCATTAAGAATTTGATAAAATTATTGTGAAAGTCTTCACCTATTTATAAGAAAAAATTCTTTCAAAAAGACTCAAGAAATCCATATGGGATTCAATCAAATATATTGGAGGGAATATTGAAATTTTGATATCCCTCCAAAATTTTTGCTCTTCTTTCAATCAAATTATTTGAATTAAAATCATATGGATGGAATGTAAACATAAATTTCAGAACATGAAACTTCATGTTTCGGATCATCTACCATGTATATCATCAAGAAAACAAGACTAAAACGACATACCTAATTTAATATTTTTAATAATTTTAATTTATAATTTTATTACATATATTTTTATTTAAATATAATTTTAATATATTTATTACGTCACGGTTTGATTCCGGTTCAACCCGACGGTTGAACCGGTGACCCGTCCACCCGATCTCTTTTCCGGTTCGCTCACCGGTTCGGTTTTTAAAACATTGCATATGGCTACAATTTTTGGGGGTAGTGCCGGTGGAGTAGCTATTGTGTAGTTGGGATCTCAAGTTTCGTGGTGGCAAAGAAACTTAAATTATTTAAGGAGGATTTGAGGACATAGAATAGGCAGATGTTTGGATTTGGGGGTTCAAAAGGCGAGTGTTGGGGGAGATCCACATGTTGGATGAAAAAGAGGGGTTGTACGTTTGATGGTTGAAACCTCTTTTCTTAGATTCCAATTGAAAGTGAAATTTGGGAAGATTGCTAAGACGGAAGAAATTAATTGGGGACAAAATCAAGGGCAATTGTGGCTTAAGGAAGGTGATAGGTGTGCTCGTTTCTTTCATTAGATATGACTAATGCTCATATGATGAGATCAAGGAATTGTGGGGTTCTATGAACATCTCCATTTAGTGGATACTAGTCGGATGCCCAAGTTTGAAAGTTTGGAGCTTTCTTAGATTTCAAGAGATGAGGAGGTTGGCTGGAGCAGCATTTCTTAGAGGAGATTGTCACGACCTTATAATCTTTGGATGGACACGATGTTAGGGCTAAATGAGATGGCTATTGCCTTTTTTCAAAAGGGTTGGAATGTGCTGAGGAATGATATCTTGTGGATGGTCACAAACTTCCATTGTGCTAATTCGAGAGAAGCCTTTTAATGTTACCTTCCTTGCCTTGTTCCCTAAGAAAGAAGGGTGGAGGATGTTGGAGACTTTAGGACTATTAGTTTGATTGGTAGGGCGGCATATAAACTTTTGGCCATAGTTCTTGCCATTTACCGTAAGTATGTGATGCCTAGGGGGTGATCGAGTCTTAGAACTCTTGTGTAGGTGGTAGACAAATTTTGGATATGGTTTTGGTGGCTAATGGGGGGTAGAAATGGTTGACCTGAGGTTATTTGTAAGCTTCACATTGAGAATGCCTACGATGTGCATTGGGATTTCATTCTATTGTTTGGAACAGATAGGGTTTAGGTAGAAATAGAGGGGTTGGATTTGTTGTTGGATCTCTACTATCAGGATGTCGGTTTTGGTTAATGGCTCACCAACTGGTTTTTTCAAACTTCGAGGGACTTGCATTAAGGAGACCCTCTATCTCTGTTACTTTTATCTTGACTATGGTGGTTTTTAGCAGAATGATTAAGAAGGCAGTGCAGCATGGTTTTCTTGAAGGTTTAAGTTTGTGGAAGGGTATTAGGAACAAATGAGATTCTTTCGCCTATCATATTCAGTTTGTGGTTGGGAATGGGTGAGATTTTGAAGCCATAGATGGTGTGGTGATGACAAGTTGGAGGTCACTTGTCCTAATGTTGCTTTCATTGTGCTGAATAGGGTATCAGCAGTTGGTAATTATCTGCACTTTGGTGATCAAGCTCTGTGGGACATTGCCTTCCAGTGAGACTTGAATGATTGAGAGTTGGTGGTCCTTCTTGGTTGCTTATATTCTGTGTGTGCTGGGGATGGAGGTGACACGTCTCAATCCACTTTTGGCATTTTTACTGTTAAGCCTTTCTATGAGGCTCTTATGGGTCTTATGGGGTCTTTTTCCTTGGAAAGGGGTGTGACATAAAAAGGCAACCTCTAAAGTGGATTTTTTTGTGTGGTGTGCAGCCAATGGTTAGATCTTTATAGTTGATAATTTGATTGAAAGAAGGCAAGTGCATGTTAACTAGTGCTGCATGTGCGAGAAAGACTCTGTCGATGAGCCATCTTATGCATTTTGAGGTGACAAGGGAGTCATGGTTTTTGTCTATTTTCTTGTTTGGTGTTTCATATGTGTTCCTTAGGACGATTGGGGAATTGCTTTTTTCTTGGAGCGTAGCTACAGTTGGTAGAAAGAAGAGGAAGGTTTGATGTTTGGTCCCCTTGGTTTTGTCTTTTTGTATAGTTTGGTTTTTGAGGGTGGTTAACCCATCATTGAACCAATTTATGGACTTTGTAGATGCCTTTGAATAGGTTTTTGATGTATAGTTATGATATATTTTGTTGTATACAGGCTGCACCCCTTTGGTATGTCTTATTTTTATTTATAAAAAATAGATTTACTTGTTGTACTTGTATGCTTGGTTGCTTCTTGGTGTTCCTTAAATATCTCACACTCACTTTTGTCCATGAACTTTTACTCAATAAAACATCATACTGTCACTGGTTATATATTTTGGTGGGATGTCTGTGCTATTTGCTTGCTTTGTATTGGTTTTCTTCTTGCCATGTAAGTGTTTGGAGAACTTCTTAGTAACATAACTACGAAAAATTCTTTCTTCCTAGATAGTAGGAGCTCACTATTATGCAATTGTTTGAGTTGATAATGTTTATTAAATAATTTCTAAAGCTTTGCGTTATTTGCTGTAGTGAGTTGCATTTAGAATATTATTTTTTTTTGGCATGTCTCCTACTTGAAAGTTGTAATAAATTCATAATAACTGAAATACTCTTTTAGTTAGTCTATCCAAAAAAATAACCTGGGACTAATGGTTGAAATTTATCATGTTTCAGGGGCACAAGAAATGGATTACTGGTATATCTTGGGAACCAGTACACCTAAAAGCTCCATGTCGCCGCTTTGTAAGTTCTAGTAAAGATGGTGATGCACGAATATGGGACGTTTCAACAAGGAAATGTGTTATTTGTCTTAGTGGCCACACACTAGCTGTAACTTGTGTGAAATGGGGTGGAGATGGAGTGATATATACAGGGTATACATTGCTTTAAGTTCTGATTTTATTTAAGTATTTCTTTGATCTAGGGAGAAAGTTAATAAGCTTTACTATTTGAATATGCTATCTCATACTATTTAAATGTCAATATGCAACATCCAGGTCAGCAAAGATATTCTCTGATTAATAACCAGACCATCTATCTCTTTGGAAGTGAATTTTTCCATAAATCGTTGTTCATTTATAATGGAAATAAATTTTTTGTTAGTGCTAGCTTGCTAGCGGACTAGCATAGCTGCATAGGTAGTAATTTTATGACTATGTAATGCGCACCTTTGGTAGAGCCCAAGCCACTACCACTTTGGATTGCACATTGGACAAGGCTTAAAGCCTCGGAAGCATGGATGCCATGAGAGAATTTCATCAGTATGGAAGATGTGTGGCAGAGCTTCAACAACCTCAAATTTTCTTTGGAGACGGTTAGAACCAGGAAGACTTTGAAGAATGAAAAAGACTGCGCATTTGGTTATATTGGTCGACCAACATCGGAGGTTTGTTGACCAGGGTTGTTAGTTCACTGGCAACAAGCTAAATAGGTTGGTTGACCAACTAGATCCAAATATTTTGGCTGTCTGACAAGATTCTATGTGTTAGCTGACCATGCAAATAGTATGAGCCAACCCATGTTGAGATCAAGAGTGTGGAACACTATAGTGAGAATGGGCTGACCCACTCAGATCTCATGTTAAGATTTTCTTGAGTCTGCGGGCTGACCATGGGTCGGCCCATGAAGACAGTTTTTCAAAAGGCTAGTCGTTATTTGGTAATCTTTAAATACCAAGGGTCCTCCACTTGGTATTTTTTGATGATAAATAACTTCTAGTGTTCCTAAACACTCTTAATACTTTCTAGATCATGTCTCATAGAGGCTTCAACCTTGTGTGAGTGATGGTGAGTTTGTGTGGTCTTGACCCCCACCCCCACTCTCGCCATCCAAACCAAGCACCGAAACCCAGCCCCAACCCCACCATCACCATCACCATCCAAACCCAACTCCAACACCACCACGAACCACATCCTACAACTACTACTTCTATGGAGATAGACAGAATATATCTATGTCTATTTAGATTGAGGAGCAAGGAGCATAATGTCTAAAATACTCCTTTGTAGTGGTCACGTGTGCGGCTCATGACCATTTTCTGTTAAAAATACTAACAACCTTTATTGATCAGACCAAATGACACAAATTAGAAGTTGAGGCAAAATTGATGTAGTAAACTACATGGACTAAATTGACACAAAGTGCAAACTACATAGATCACTGATGTAATTTGCTCTATATTTATTATGTATCCTAACTGTATCCATGAACTGTTCTTTAAGATTTTGTCATATCTGTGTTGTATTGTGCTGTTATCCTATATCTATACTAGTGCTATATGTGTTTCATAGGAAATTAGTAAATGTTGGGTGCTTTGGGTTGTGCTTAGGAGTATTTGAGAAGTTTGGCAAATTGTCTGACATAGCTTTATGGATAAATTACACTGTTGGTCCCTCTAGTTTGAGTGAGGTTCAATTTGGTCCATGTAGTTTCAATTTTATCAATTTAAACGCCACACTTTCAATTGCGTGTCAATGTGGTCCCTCATTCAGTTGCCGTCAGCATTTTGGACGGAAGAAAGCCATGTGCAACTCACATGGGCAATTTGGCAATTCCTGCCCCAGAAAGAAAAATGAATAAATGACACCGGTGGTCCTTATAATTTTTTCCAATTCTACTTTGGTTCCGCTAGTTTCGCACGTGTCGTTTTTTCAGGCTAGCTTTAGTTTAGTGTTGATAAGCCTTCTCTTTTAGTTTAGTGTTGATAAGCCTTCTCTTTTTGGTTGCTGAAAAGGGTAGCTCATCCTTCTTGCCCCTTTTTCTTAGCCTCTTTTGGGTCTTGTAGAAAAGCAAACAAATAAACAGGCACAATATGGCATGTATATTTGTGAACTGGTTTCTCTGAATTGTTATGGATTATATCTGACTTCAATTTTAGCAGTTTTATAGTGAATAATGAAGCTTGTCAGTATGCTTCAGATTTTTTATGGTCCTTCCACTCATACTGCAGCTCTCAAGATTGTACAATCAAAGTCTGGGAAACTTCACAGGGGAAGCTAATTCGTGAACTGAAGGTAAATAAATACGTCTTTCGGAACTTGTGGTTTTATTGGGTCTCACTTTTTTTGCATGCTTGCTGGTAGCTGCTATATGTGTACTGTTTTCATTATTACGATTATCTGTCCAACATTAGGATCCATCTGCACATTTCAAGTAATGGACTAGGTATCTGATTCAAATGAAATCATTTTTAAGTGGGCTTGAGAAATCATGGAGTAGTGGGGGAGATGTAATAGTGTAACTTGTGTTGTTTGAACTTTTATACTTTAGTTGGGGCTTCCCAAGGGATACAGTGATTAAGGAAGGATAATGGACTTCAATTGAGGACACCAATTCTATGTGGTGTGAGATGGCCAGTTTTATTAAAAAATTACCAAAACGGGAACTTAGTAAATTTAATGGAAGTGGGCCACCATCTAAAGAAACTTGGTGGTGGAATGAAGAGGTTCAAAAAGCAATCAAAACAGAAAGAGACTGTCTCAATTTATTTATTTATATATATTTTTTTGTAGCTGTAAGAATAGCAAAATTTTTTGATAAAGAATCTAAAAACCGAAGCTAAAAGAGCAGAGAGGGAGCTTAAGTTGAAGACTTATGATAATCTTTATCTTGAGTGAAATTCTAAGGATGGAGAAAGAAATATATATAAACTTGCCAAGCTAAGAGTAAAAAAATGTAGAGATATAAAGGTGAAAATGACATAAGTGTTAGTTAAAGAAAATGGAATTAAGGAATGGTGGTGTTGTTTTGAAAAGCTATTTAATGAATGAGTTAACGTCTGAAGAAATTGAAGGTAGTTATGAGGTGTTGTCTTCCATTGGGATGGAGAAGACTACTCCTGGAGCAAAATGTTTACCTGAAAAGCATGTTGGTGCTTTTTTCATCTTTATGTAAGAATTCACAAGGCAATTTAAGGAAAATCACCCCAATATCATATCAATGGTGGTTTTTGAATTTCAGTCCAAGTTGTACAATTCTTCACAACTGTTTGGAACAAGTAATGGCAACCACTCCACGTGACTTGCACATGGTGGGCAGCATATAACAACATGTCCAAAATGGACATTTCACAACAGGACTAGTGGGATGAAACTTTCCTGCCAATGGCCATTACATACAGCTATATATGTATAAAATATACAGGGTAAAACAGAGCCCTGGATGTTTGCTTCCTTATGTTTGATTGTTTTTCTGATCAGTGAATTTTAATCAGGATTATAAAGAATGATAGAGCTTTTGGCAACAGATGTTATGTTTACTGCTTAAGGTCATTGCCATTGTAGGGACAGAGAGTATGAACAATTAGAGGCCCTATTTCTATTGAGGATCTTATGCCTTTGGTGTAATCCCAACATTAGGGTCTTGTTGAGAATGTTTTTTTTTTTTTTTTTTTGGGTGGGTTTGTTGAGAATGTTTGCTGCCTTGGAATATATTTTCTTTATACATATTTTTCCTGGTTTCATGATAGCAACATAACAGACAGTTACTGATTTTTTGTTAAAAGATAACTGTCAAATTCCTTTTTATAACACTAGATAATTGCTAGCATTTGATCAATTTATAATACTAAACAAGTTTCATATTGGACAAATTTCAGAATGTTTAACTTCATGACGGAACAGGTTTTAGTATACAATCAACACAACGCTTCATACATTTTTTTGCCTTCGAGACTTCATACAATTTTCTGCCATTACAAAAACAACATAACCACACACAAACTAACTATAGTGACCCAAAAACAACATAATAACACACATAAAACACAACCTGCTCCTCATTTCCTCTCCCTCTAGTACAACAATAAAACCAAAATAATGACCCAAGACAAACAAACAATTCTATAACATCCTTTCCTTCACTCTACATTTTGAAACGTGTTCCTCCATCTTACTGATTTTTCATAGCAGCCCTGGAATAACTTGCTTTGAACAGTGAGTTGAAGCCATGTGATACCTTCTTTTTCCTCTCTCTCTCTCTCTCTCCCTGGGGCTCTGTTTTACCCTGTAAATGTTATAGATATATAGCTGTATGTAATGGCCATTGGCAGGAAAGTTTTATCCTACTAGTCCTGTTCATGGTTGTTTGAATCGTACGATTCGCGATACGATTTTTGCACACCACGATTCAAATTGCGACTTGGAATCGTAAATTCGAAGGAATCGTTTGATTCATATTTTGAATCGTGTGAATCTCTTTGAATCAACGATACACACGAGTCGAACGATTCAGTTCGTGTGCTGTTTTTACCCTCCCAGCGATCGTTTGGAGTCTTAAAACGAAAAAAAAAAAGGAAATCAATACATACCAGTAGTGGAGCAAACTAGTCCCAAGAGATTAAGCAACAATATTGCTTTTTTTACCCAAAATCTGAAGGTATGTACAGTTTATTTGATGAATCTTGTCTTCTTCCTATTGTTGCTTCTCATGGGTTTCCTATTCTTCTCTCTTACCAGCTGTTTGTAAGTATTTGAATCCCTTTGTGTGGGTCTCTTAGTTAGATGCGAGAGCCTGTTGGTCTTCGTGTGTCTCTTCAGTTGCTGAGAAGAGCATTAAAGAGAGCCTTCTGAGTCTTTTTTGTCTCTTCGTTTGCTGTGCTGTTGCACTTGCACACTTGCACTTTAATACATATTATTTATATATATATTTTATGCAGATTAAAACTATATTATATAATATATAAAATTATATATATTATGATTTTTTTTATATAAAATATTATCAAAAAAATAAAAAAATAAAATATATATAATATTATATATAAATAATATATTAAATAAAGTGAATCTTACTTCACGATTCAATTCGTATATGTAATATTATATATAAATAATATATTAAATAAAGTGAATCTTACTTCACGATTCGATTCGATTTGATTCACGATTCATTTTTTTTTAAGGATTTGATTCACGATTTAACAACCGTGATCCTGTTGTGAAATGTCCATTTTTGGACATGTTGTTATGTGCTGCCCACCATGTGCAAGTCATGTGGAGTGGTTGCCTTTACTTGTTCCAAATGGCTGTTTAGAATTGGACAACTTGGACTGAAATTCAAAAGTTTAAGGACCACTCGGATCAAATTAAAACTTTAGGTATGGAGTAGACAAAGTTGTGATACTTTAGGGGGTAAAAGTGAAATTAACCCTTTATAATACTTGTGGGCTTGTATTTTATTTTTGTAATTCTTTCAAGGACTAACTAGGTTGAGATTAAATACTTTAGAGACGTAATAGATTCAATCAATAGTTTAAGTAGACTTTGATTTATATATTTTAGGGGTCAAGTAGACTCAATCGATAGTTGAGGGATCAAGTAGACAATTTGGCAATAGTTCTAGAGTAGAAAGTGAAATTAACCCTTGTAGTAAACTTATATGAGTCATATAATGCAACTTTAGGAGAGTAATTGAACAGAGATTAAGAGATGAGATACTTTTACAAAATCAATTTGGTTTTATGCTTGGGAGATCTACAATGGGAACTATTTTGTCTACTTAAGCGAATAATGGGTAAATATAGGGGAAAGAACAAGGAGGTCCATATGGTGTTTATTGACTTTTTTGTTTATTGACTCGGAAAATCATATGATATGGTTCCTAGAGATACAATATGGACAGTTTTAGTGAGATATACTTGTATAATTAAAGACATTATTGGAGCTGTGACTAAATTGAGAACATTATGAGACAAACTAGTGAATTTCTAGTAAAAATAGGTTTACATCAAGGATTGACATTTAGTGCTTACCTTTTTGCATTAGTTATTGTTGAGCTTACTAGAACCATTGAAGAGGATATCTCTGGGTGTATGTTATTTTGTTGATTATAGTTAACAAAGTATGGGTAAATTTTGAGCTAGAATGTACTTAAGAATCTAAAGGGATTAAGTTAAGTAGTAGTAAGACAAAATATATGGAGTGTAATTTTAGCAAAACTAGAAATAGGGATGAAGATATAGTAAAATTTGATGGGCATGAGATACCTAAGAGAGATAATTTTTTATATATTGGGTCAATTATTGATAAAGATGGAGAGATTGAGGGCTTGACCTATAGAATTATGGTGGGATGGATATAATGGAAGAGTGCTTCGGGAGTATTGAGGATTCCTACTAACTTAAATGAAATATTATATGACTGGTATAAGACTTATCATCATGTATGGTAATGAATGTTAGGTGGTTACGAAAAAATATGTTATGAGTGTGGCCGAAATGAGAATGTTGAGATAGATTAGTGGTGGTACAAAGATAGATAAAATAAGAAATGAATCCATTAGGAAAAAGTTAGAAGTGGCACAACATGAAGATAAAATGGAGAGTCTTTTGAGATCATAAGGTCATGCCCATCGTTGACTAATTACTGCACAAGTTAGGAGTAGTGATTTGATCCACAAGAGGGTAGTAAAAGATATAGAGGAAGGCCTAGGAGAACATGGGTTGAAGTGATAAGAAAGAACCTGACTATTTAAATTTAATTGTGGCTGCGGCTGCGGATGGGACCAATTGGAGGAAAAGGATCCATGTAGCAGACCTCAAGTAATTGGGACAAAGGCTTGTTGAATTGAGTTATAATTTTTTTTGTTTGTGACTTAATGTGACAAAATTGCTTTAGAATTTAAATAAATAACCTTAACAAATTTTACATTTGTTCACTGTGGTCATGCCTGCTGTCATAGGGCTAATTTTCAGACTATAAAATTTTCTTGCAATGGCACTAAGGCCTAATACTTGGTCTCAGCCAATGTATGCAACTCATACACACAATTAAATTTCGTCAAGCATACAAGATAAGCAACACAACAATTACAGGAAAATCCAACCTTTATTATTGCACCGACAATTGCAAAGGGAAACCAAATGCCGAACTCTTAAACACTTGATAATGTCGAGTTTGCATGGTCATGCCTATATATAGGCTACAATCAGAACATTTGAAATTCAAACAGGCAACTAAACATAAGGGACACATGTACAGAAATAACTGCCACTAAATGCTCCTTTATTTCAGCCTTCCTTGTTCCTCGCTAGCATGTCTTGTTCTGTGCATAACCGCCCATAACCGCCCCTATGTTTTAGGAAGCTTTTGTCTTGCCTTAGACAATTCGAATTGCTCAAGCCACCAACCAAATAGAGCCCTAAGTGCCATCTGTTGGTCTTGGTCAAGCCCATCCGCCTTGCTAACCAGCCAAGTGTGCACCACACCTTGCTATCTAGCCAAGTCAAGCCATCTGATTGTGTTAAACCCACAAGTATACGGCAACTCAGCATTAAGGTCATATTAATGCCTTCATGTGCCATGCTGCCCATACTTTGGCCAAGGGTTGAGTGCCGCAGCTGAATGGCATAGCTGATTGCCCACCTTCTTGTTTTGGCATGCCTCCCTCATGTCATGGTCCAGGTCTAACATAGGAGCAAGGTGCCACCAAGTGTCAGGCCGCCAGTTCCCAAATATCAAGGTTCTAACACCTGCATACTACACTGTCAACTTGTGTGTTGTACTAATGTAATTCACAGTCGACTGATGTGCGTAATGGAATATCTAAATGGTCTGTTTGATTTTTTCTAATGTTGATCATGATGGATGCTATCGAATTTTCTTATCCCTTAATTGTGTAATGTTGCCCAAGTTGGAGTGTATTAAGTTTTAGGTTGCACAAGTAATGCAATTGTCAAGGTGAATATATAAAAGTGACCTATTGTGGATTTCCTTGTGTTTTCTTTCTAAAAGAAAGCTATGTTGAATCTGCAGATTACATCTGCTGAAATGACAGTGTAGAATCATATTCTGTGTTTTGCCCGTCAATTCACTTTTGATTCATCATTCTTCTTCTTTAGCTATTGAAGGCACTGGTCCCGACTCGTGATTTTCATTCCCTTTTAATGATTACACTCTTTTCTATGAATTCCAATTGTTGATGCATGATTTTTTCCTTTTCTATTTGACTTCCTTTATAACCTTTCTTTGTATGTTCTTTTATGATTTTAGGGGCATGGTCATTGGGTTAATTCCCTTGCATTGAGCACTGAATACGTTCTTCGCACTGGAGCTTTTGATCATACTGGAAAGCAATATTCCTCTCCAGAGGAAGTGAAAGAGGTACTGTTGCTTGTTTGATGTGCCTCACAATCTGTTAAAAGAACATCTCTTATCTGATTTTAATGGACATTTATTACATTTCCCTGTATTTTGAAGCCCCTTATGTTTTCTGCACGTATACATTTACGGGTTTATTAACTCAAGGAAGTCCTGAGAGCCTGACTCATGCACATGGACATTGGGTTCTAAAATCTGAAATTTATCAGGCCATTGCTATGTTTTTAATAAAGCCTTAAAAATATTCTTCAAATTAATATAGCAATTTTGTAGATGAAGAGATCCACTAAAAGCGCCAAAAGGGCACAACCTCTATACATGGTGCATGCAAATCTTAACTAAAACCCATGAAAATATGGAGTGGGAACTCTCGTGCAACATAAAGAACTTAGAAGATGGTTTTGTATGGGCTTTCAAAGGCGTGTGCGGCTTTATAGGGGGAGCATACAAATGTAGTTTTGGGAGGAGTTGTCTTAGGCGCAAGCTAGTTGGGAACTCCCTTGGGGCCTGTTTGTTTTCAGATTTAGGTTGGGTGGGATTGTTAGTGTGGGGATTGTTAGTGAGGGGACTAAGAAAAATTGTGTTTGTTTGTGATCTATTTTAGTGAGGGGATTAACTATATCAAATACCATAAATACCCTTTGGTTTTTTTTGATATATTTTAATATTAAAAATTATATTTTATAAATATTTTTTTGTACTATATTATTTATATATATATATAATGACGTAATACCAAATTATTTATATATATATATATATAATGATGTAATACCAAAAAAGAGAAAAACCACACACAAACATACAAAATGGGCAAAAGAGTCTTTTTCCAAGCTAATCCCCTCACTAGTTTGAAACCTAACCCTTGGAGGCCTTTGCTAATCCTCTCCTTCAAGGCTCATGCTAGTCCCAAGGGACTACAAATCCTAAGCTCCAATTTGCAAACAAACATGATTTTAGCACTCCTCCTCCAAACTCACTAATAGTTCATTCTGGTCACAAGGCTATACGTAGAGATGGCAGTTAGGGTCTATGACACCCAAACTGACCTGAACCCGATTGAATTTTGTTCCCCGCTTTGCGATTCGAATATGGATGGGTACCGTTATGAACTCCCGAAACCCGACCCTAACGGGAAACGGTTCCAACACCGCGAACCCGATCCCGATCCCCGCTTTTCCATTGTTTAAAGAATGCCCCCGACCTGATTCCTAGCCCCGGTTCTCTTTTTCATTTTTTGCAATTCCATTTAGAAACAATTGAAAACTTTTTGTATAAAATATATGGAAAAATTAAGGTTGAAAGTATAAATTTGAAAACTTTTTCTATAAAATATATATTTGTAAAAATTAAGCTTGACTATCAAATTACAAACAAATAATCTCCAAAATATAAATTTTAAACTGGACTATCAAAATAAATCATGTGCACTAATCCATTTGCTTATTTCTCAAATATGTTCAAAAAAACCTTATTCTTGTCCAACATCATCAAACAACAAAAATAAAATCCATCAATTGTTCAACTACATCACAAGTTTCATAATCTACCAACTGCATCACAAGTTCCATAGTCCACCAAAAAAATGAAGTAGCAATAACAAAACTAGATTTCCAAATAACATCATGCATTGTAGTCCATCAACCTACAAACTCCAACAAGAAGTAGCCATTGTCCAGTGACAAGAAGTTCCAAAGTAAGCAAGAAACTAAGCAAATACCTGTGATATCAACAAATGGGCAAAATGTTAATCCTCAAAATAACTTGTATTTATTAAAAAAAAAAAATTTAAAAAAAATTTAACATAATTGTTAATATAAAATTTAATGTCACTTATTGTGTGATCAACACTTGAAGTGGACTCACCACCATCATCCATTTCATCATTGACTCTTGCAAAACCAATTGATTTTTTGAACTCCATTAATGCCTCCTCTTTAAAGAAAAAAATCAGAAAAATAAAAATAAAACAAAACAAAAATATTTCAATTTATTAGAAGAATTATAAAAAATGGAAGACAAAACCAAATAAACAAATCAATTACCTTCATTCTCAATAGACCATAACCAACTTTGAGCACATATCAAAACTACCAACCTCTTGGTATGAAGCCTACTATGTTGTGGACTCACCACACTACAGCTAGTGCTAAAAGCGGACTCTGAAGCAACACATCCCTTGCTATGGCTTGCAAAGTTGGGTACTTGTCTCCATTTGACTTCCACCATGCCAAGATATCAACATCTTGATTTCTTCGTCAGTCATCCTCCTCTAAATAATTATCCATCTCCGATTTTACATCCAAAGTTTTACGCCTATTTTTGTGAGAAACAAATAAATCAAAGTATGAGAGATCATCTTGAGCACTAGAACCCAAGTCAAAATGGCTTGAACAATCACCAATATGGCCAAGGTTAGATTGATAATACTTAAGCAAGTCATAACAAATTTGCTTAATCCTCCCAACCTTAAAATCAGAGTTACCCATAATTTTTTCAAGATAATATTCTATCAAATTCAGTTTGTATCTTGGATCCAACACTACTACAACTCCTAAAATGTGATGAATAACTAACCAATACTTATCGTATTTTTCAAACATATTTAATGCCATTGTTTTTACCACCTCGTCCGAACACACAATCCACTGAGATAATACAATTTTAATCTCACAAACCTTTGGGGAAGTCAAATTTGAAGTTGGATACTTAGTTGCACTAAACAACTCAGTGATGTCCTAAAATATTTTTAATTTCTCAAAACTTTTGTAACAAACACCCAATCACTCGCTTTTATTGAAATCTTTATTGGGAGTTACGGGTATTCAAACGGAAGAAAACATGTTTTGTATTCTATGAAAGTTTGAAGCATAAAAAAGATAGAGAGGAGAAATTTATAGAAACAACCCAACATCTGTGCATCTCTTGTTCTAAGAAATTGTGTTTGGATTGTGTCACAAGGTGGAACTCTTACCTTTTTTATGCTTCAAACTGCCATAGAATGCAAAAGATGTTATATTCCGTTTGAATACCAGTGACTCCCAATATAAAATTTCAATAAAAGAGAGTGATTGGGTGTTTTGCTAGGAAAGTTAGTGAGAAATTGAAAATATCTTAGGACATCATTGAGTTGTTTAGTGCGACTCCGAAAGGTTTGTGAGATTAAAATTGTATTATCTTAGTGGATTGTGTGTTCGGACGATGTGGTAAAGACTATGGCATTGCATAGGGTTGAAAAATATGACAAGTATTGATCAGTTATTCTTCACATTTTAGGAGTTGCAGTAGTGTTGGACCCAAGGTACAAATAGAATTTGATAAAATATTATTTTGAAGAATTTTATGGGGATAACTATGATTTTGAGGTTGAGAGGTTTAAGCAATTTTGTTACGACTTGCTTAAGAATTATCAATCTAAGCTTGGCCATATTGGTGATTGTTCAAGCCATTTTGACTTGGGTTCTAGTGCTCAAGATGATCTCTCAGGGTTCGATTTATTTGTTTCTCGCAAAAAGAGGCGTAATACTTCGGATGTGAAATTGAAGATGGATAATTATTTGGAGGAGAATGTCTTACGAAGAAATCAAGATTTTGATATCTTGGCATGGTGGAAGTCAAATGGAGACAAGTACCCAACTTTGCAAGCCATAGCGAGGGATGTGTTAGATATACCGGTATCCACGGTTGCTTCAGAGTCCGCTTTTAGGACTAGCGGTAGAGTGGTGAGTCCACAATGTAGTAGGCTTCATCCCAAGACATTGGAAGCTTTGATGTGTGCTCAAAGTTGGTTATGGTGTAATTGATTTGTTTATTTGGTTTTGTCTTCCAAACCAAACCAAACTAAACCAGGCCAAGCCTTAAGTCCCATAAAATGAGATCGGTTACATGAATCATTTTTTTTCATGCGGCGCTATCAAAGGCCATTTCGTTAGTCAAATTAAGTAGATCCATATCTCTATTTACAACGTTAGCCAACGTTAATCTAGGCCTACCCCATCCCCTAACACTTCCATCTACCGTTACAGTATCGCATCTCTTCACTACTGTCTCTGTTAGTCTCCGTTGAATATGACCAAACCATCTCAATCGATTCTCTCTCAACTTATCTTCTATCGGTGCTATTCCTACCTATTTTCGAATACACTCATTCCTAATTATGTCTTGTCTAGTCTTGCCACACATCTACCTTAACATCTTCATCTCAGTCACACTCATCTTATTTATATGTTGTTTCTTGGTTGCCCAACACTCCGTCCCATACAACATTGCTAGTCTAACAGTCGTTCTATAGAACATACCTTTTAGTCTAGTGGGTATTCGTTTATCGCACAGTACCGTAGATGCACTTCTCCATTTACACCGTCCCACCTTAATCCTATGGGCCACATCCGCATCAATCTCCCCCGCTGTTGTGATAATCGACCCTAAATAACGTAAATGTTCACTTTTAGACAGTTCTTGGTTCTCAATTCTCACTTCTCCTCTGCTTTCATTGCTACTGTCACTAAATTTACACTCCATTTTTTATAATTCTTCTAATAGGTTTAAAGAGGAGGTGTTAATGGAGTCCAAAAAATCAATTGGTTTTGCAACGGTCGATGATGAAATGGATGAGTGACATTGAATTTTATATTAATAATTCTGTTAAATGTGTTTTTTAATTGTTTTAATAAATACAAGTTATTTTGAGGATTAACATTTTGCCCATTTGTTGACATCACATGTATTTGCTTAGTTTCTTGCTTACTTTTGGAACTTGTTGTCGTTGGACAATTGCTACTTCTTGTTGGAGCTTGTAGGTTGTTGGACTGCAATGCATGATGTTATTTGTTAATCTAGTTTTGTTATTGCTACTTCATTTTTTCATTTAAGATCTAGTTTTGTTTTGGTGGACTATGGAACTTGTGATGCGGTTAGACACTTATTGAATTTTATTTTTTTGGTAGACTATGAAACTTTGTGATGTAGTTGGACAATTGATGGATTTTATTTTTGTTGTTTGATGATGTTGGACAAGAATAAGGTTATACTTGCATAACAACAACATTAGATATAGATGAGTTATTTTATTTTGAATATATTTGAGAAATAAGCAAATGGATTAGTGCGCATGATTTATTTTGATAGTCAAGTTTAAAATATATATTTAGTGGATTATTTGTTTGTAATTTGATAGTCAAGCTTAATTTTTATAAATATATATTTTATAGAAAAAGTTTACAAATTTATACTTTCAAACTTAATTTTTCTATATATTTTATTCAAAAAGTTTTCAATTGTTTCTAAATGGAATTGCAAAAAATGAAAAAGAGAATCGGGGCTAGGAATTGGGTCGGGGGCATTCTTTAAATAATGGGAAAGCGGGGATTGGGTTCGGGCTGCGAAAACCGTTCCCCGCTCGGGTAGGGTTTTAGGGGTTCACAGTGGTCCCCATTTGGTTTCGGATCGGGGAGCGGGGAACAAATTTTAATAGGTTTCGGGTCAGTCGGGTGTCACAGACCCTAATTGCCATCTCTAGCTACGCAGGCTTTTCCTGATTTCATTGATGTTTTCGTGGACTTATCCTTGGAAGGAGGGAGATTCCCTTTGTACAGTATGAAAGATTCTACTTTGATGTTTCAAATTGAAGGAAGCCAAATAGGTAAGCCAGAAACTAGAAACCCTAGCAAATCGATCTGAAAAGCTCTAATAGGACACCACAAAAACTGAAGAATGGAGGGGGCAAGGAGGTGTCATTGTCTCGACTTCTGTAGTTTCTCTCTAGAGATTACACATCCTCGGCATACAAAATTTGGAGGGTGTAGCTAAGTTGGATTAGTTGACCTGGATGGGTTTGATGTTCTCTCCGCTCAAGTTGTCCTGTGATCCAACCATTGTTATAAAGTTGACAATTCATTTTTCTCTGTGACTGATTATATGGCCTCTTGTTGGTGCAACAGGTGGCTCTGGAAAGGTACAACAAAATGAAAGGCAACGCCCCTGAAAGATTGGTTTCTGGGTCTGATGACTTCACCATGTTCCTTTGGGAACCTGCTGTTAGCAAACACCCCAAAACTCGTATGACAGGTCATCAGCAGGTACAAGTATTTGATAATTGATCGTTATGCTAGTTTGCATCTCTAGTTGCACACCCAGTGGTTCATCACTGTCTGCCAATAACAGTATGTAATTTTTGTTCTCTCTTCATTTATAACATATCATTGCGTCTTCTCTGGCCGATTTCCAATCCCACTGCTGTGCATTCTTCTCCCCCTCCCACCTGCCCTTCATATGTTGCTCCTTTTCAGATGTTACACACACATATATATATGTTCTTTTAGTTGAAGATACATACTCTGTGCCAATAACAGTATGTGACTTTTGTTCTCTCTTCATTTATAACATATCATCACCTCTTCTCTGGCCGATTTCCAATCCCACTGCTGTGCATTCTTCTCCCCCTCCCACCTGCCCTTCATATGTTTCTCCCTTTCAGATGTTACATCTATATATATATATATATTCTTTTAGTTGAAGATACAATATCTGAATTTTAAAACTCTTATCCTTTTTACTGTCGGTTAACTGGCTGCACTAGTAGCATCTATGGGTAAATTATTTATATTCTGATCCCATCCATTGAATAGGTAAGATTGATGAGAAAGCTAAATTCTGCCATCATTTCACCTATTAAAGCAGCATGTGGTGTTCCTACTTGCTAGAAATTGCTTTACCTCTAGGAAAGGTCCAGTCACCTGTTCAGTCTGGCTCATAGCTATGGTGTTGGTCTGACTTCTTGAAATTATCTGAGAACCTGGCTTGATTGCAGTAATACTTCCTTACTCTAGAAATTGATGAGAAGGACTTGGTATTGTGAAAGTGATGCAGAAATTTCCAAATTCAGCGTGGAAAATTAGGGTTAGGGCTCGAAAATAAATTGGTTGGAGATGGTTGAGGTTTTGATAGAGTAGGATAAGGAAGAGAATCAGGATTTCTGTGGGCTATTTAAAGTATATTTAAAGGCTGGAGACAGCAAACAGTGTTTATTGTTAATAAGTTATAAGAACCGTAATAAGAAGAATAACCATGAGAAGAATAATAGGAGATAAAAGAGAAGACAAAGATCAAAGAAACATGTTGAAATCAGGTTGATTTTCCATGAACTAGTTCTTTGAGAAACAAAAATCATAATAACTGGACCACCTAAAAAATCTCCCACATGCACACTTCCCCAAAAATTGTTGGAAAAAATTTAAATAAGATAGAAGTAAAGGGTTTGGTCATTGGTGATTAGCATATGCAGAAGAGGAGGCTAGGAGAGTTTCAGATTTGTGATTTCTTCATAATTACTTCAATCTATGACAGATTGAATCAACATACACATTCATATGAATACACTGAAACACAGAGGGGAGATAAAGACAAGCGATAAATTGAGAAGAGAGAGACAGGAGCATGGGTGTTAAAGCAAAATCTTAAAAGGAAACACTGTAGAACACACACAAAAAAAGAGGGGGAAAGAAAGAAGAGAGAGAAGAGAGACACAGGGACATGGGTGCTAAAGCAAAATCTTAAAAGGAAACACTGTGAACATACAAAAAAAGAGAGACCACACACACACACACACACACAGAGCATCAAATGAACCTTAGCGGACCTTTCTAGCATCTCTATACTCCCGAATGAGCTGGTGCAGGGCCTGGGGTAGATATAGGTGGCTGGAACCTTAGTTTTTGCTTCCAAAATATGATTGAGCAATTATTTATGCATTACTGCATATTTTTGTATATAGAATTATAGATTATAATATTGGAGCTAGTGTATACTTCAAAATAAATTAACTTAAGATTATGGGCACTAGCATAACCTAAGAATCTTAGACAATTCTAAGAAGATGCTGTGTCCATGTCTAACATGTGTTGGACACTTGACACTTGTTAGACATGCATCCAAACATAGCATATTAGTTTTTAAATTTGTTTGAACTGGACTCATTTAGGACACGTGGAGACACACTTCTATCATTCAGATGTACATGAAACTCATCGCGAGTTTGAAGAAAATAACTTGGGGCCCCATGATCGAAATCCAAACAATATGGATTTTATACTTTTTAATTATTCCTCTTGCTTTTAATTGAAGAAACTAACTTGGGAGCCGTGCTGAAATCAAACAATATCGATTTATACACATTAACCCTTCCTCCTTTAGGCTTTTTTTAATTTTAGGATTTCTAAAAACAATGTTCCAACTTTTTTATGAACACAGCTTTCACAAAATGACATTAGGACTTTCTCCACACTTTTTTTAATATATGGAATCTGGAAAATCAATTCTTTATAATTTGATAGAATAAAATGTAGATGTATTTGTAACATAAAAAATTAATAAATTGTTGAACATTTTCATGTATATTTGTAACATGGACAAAATATATATATTTTTGTTTCATGTAAATTCTATCTAACATCAAAATATATCACTATTTGTAACATGGACAACATTCCTTTTGATGCCTCTATTCTAAAAACTGCCTTACCAAAAAAAAAAAAAAAAAAAAAAAAAGAAGAAAGAAAGAAAGAAAGAAAAAGGGAAAGTGTCCATGCCCTTGAGAATGTTGTGTACTAAGCTTTTGAAGATTTCTGTATTGACATGTTTGGATCATATCCTATCCATCTCTCCTGTCTGTATCCATACTTCTTAGAGCATAGCAATTGAAAATATATAAAGAATGATTCAACCTCACCTATTTAAAATTGAATGAGATGGGTGAGTGTCTATTGTTTTTGTATGAGGTCAACTTTCCAACTAACCTAGATCTTGACATCCAGACCTGTTTAAGATGGTTACTGCTACTTTCTTGTTTACAAATAGATGTCTTTATTCCAAATTAGCCTCATATACTGAGCTCAAACATAGCTAGCACACTAGTGGCTAAGGTGGAAACCTTCTTCCTGACAGATCAATCAGTTGCTTGCTCTGCATGTTTTTAGCATCTCTCTCGCTCGCTCTCGCTCTCGCTCTCTCTCTCTGTCTCATGTAAACAATTTGGCCTGCACATGTTTTAGGAATTACGAATAGAATGTTGAAGGCAACTTCTTGTTGCAAGAATGCATTATTTCTTAAATTAAAGCTATCTGCTCTGTTGTATCTACCATACATCTTATAAAGAGATCATTGAAACTTGTCACATATCTATTTTCACTGTATTTTTCCTCAAGATCAGCAGTTGACCACAACTTGTGCATTCTACAGCTTGTGAACCATGTTTACTTTTCCCCTGATGGGCAATGGGTAGCAAGTGCGTCATTTGATAAGTCTGTCAAGTTATGGAATGGTATTACAGGAAAATTTGTTGCTGCTTTTCGTGGCCATGTAGGGCCTGTTTATCAAATAAGGTTTGAATTGGTTTTATTGTGTTTTGAATTGTCTTTATTATGTGTCTTTATGCCATCCTATTTCTGAACAGCTAATTCTTGTATTTCCTGTTGTGCTGTAGCTGGTCTGCTGACAGTAGGCTTCTTTTAAGTGGGAGCAAAGACTCGACACTGAAGGTAATGTTAAGGGGTGTTTGATTTGATGTGTTTCTGCACGTTCTATTGGGGTTAGGTTATATTGTTGTTAAGAATAACAAAGCCCTCATCTGATTTGTTGTATCAAAAACATTTCATTTGAAAATTTATGGCATTTGTTTTTTTTTCCTTGAATGGTCAAGAAATATTCTGTGCATTGGATCCTTAACCTTTTGAGTCTTTATGCTGTCTTATATTGGATTAACTGTGCATTGTCAAGTGTGTGTGTATATATATATTTACTTTGAACATATCTACACGCAATTGACTTAAATTAAAACTGTCTATTCTCCAGGTTTGGGACATCCGGACACAGAAGTTGAAACAAGACCTGCCAGGCCATGCAGATGAGGTACATTTTCTCAGCAAAAACTATTCAGTCAAATAAATTCTTTTTTTTTTTTCAGATTAAGATTATAATTAATCATTTTACTTTTTGGTTTTGGTTTTGTGTTTTTTTTTTTGTTTTTAAAGGTTTTTGCTGTTGATTGGAGTCCAGATGGTGAGAAGGTAGCCTCTGGTGGAAGGGATAGAGTTTTGAAGTTATGGATGGGTTAGAATACATCAGCAGAAACAGATTTGTATATGCATGAAAAAGACATTTCAGAGATTGCCAGTGTAGTTTTGTAACAATTGGTTATGTTATATCATGATTTTGACTGTTTGAATTGCCCATAGCAATATTTGATAAACATGCAAGTATAGCATGAAAGGCCCGGAATTTTGTTTGGTAGTTGGCCGGAAAGAGTAAAAATAGTTTTTGCACGTCTACACATTGAGGAAATTTTCAAATTTTTTATTATTGTTTTCAACTAAACGTTTCCCTGCCAAGTGCAACTTTTGTTTTAAATAACCAGCAGGCTTGGTATATTATTTATTATTTTAGATATTGAGGCATTGTTTGGTGTATTTTTGTCGGTGGTTTGAGCTTGATTTTGCATTTGTGATCATTTGCATAAAACTCGTATGAATGCAGGTTCATATTAGACCATAGTTTTCTTAGATCTTAGAAATGAAGTCGAAATATATTTCCAGACTCGTGTGCTTGGCTGATCAATTAGGATGGAAGTCAAGCATCCAAAATAAGATTATCCCTTCTGTAAAATTGATTGTTCCCAGATTATTTTCTTTTATTAAATAGGGTAATTACACTGACCTCTCCTGAGGTTTATAATAATTATGAAAACCTCCCTTGAGGTTTTTGAAATAACACTGACCTCCCTTGTCAGTGATGTCAGCTAACCAACGTTAACAAAGGTCTTTTTACATTTTTGACCCTAGGACTGTATCCCTCCACCCTCTCACACTGTTACACATACTCAGTTGCGGTTTGGGCAACTGTATTCATCTCTTCTCAATGTGCTCATCTTTGCCTTTTTTCACTCCATCCCTTTCTATACCAATCAACCCCTATGAAGAAATGGTAGAAATCAAAGAACCGGGAAGAGATTGAGACTATAGAAATCGAAAGAAAACAGAGAAACAGGGGAATTGGTGGCTGTGGGCGGTGATAGTTGCAATGTGATGGGTCGATCGACTATGATGACTATGCTGGTGGCAACTCTGTTGCTTCGGATCTATCTCACTTCTCTCTCTCTCTCTCTCTCTCTCACACACGATTTGCAGTGCATCTACGTCTGACGGATTTGTGAGGGCTTACTGTAGATTGATTATGGATCTGTGATGGTGGATTTGCAGCGGTGGTCTTATGGTGGTGTAATTGTGAGGGTTGGAGTGGTGGGGTTGCGTGAGATTTTTGGTAGTGGATGCTGGATTTTGGTGGTAATAGTGGTGGTGCAAGATGGGTATGTTGGTGTGAAGGTGATGGTGCGCAGTGGAGAGGGGTAGAGTTTGGAGGAGGTTGGGCATTTTCTGTATTTTTTTCTTTCTAATGTCCAGCCACTATAGGGGCATTTTGTCGAACACCTATGGAGATGGAGAGAAGAGAGTGGAGTTCTGGGGGGTGATTAGATGGTGGTGGTTTGCAATTGTAGTGGCAACAGTGGCTGAGGATTACTGCTGGAGCAAACTGTATTAGCAGAAAGATATGCAGTGATGGGCATGATGAGCTTGTAGTTCATACCCAAATTAGCTGAAGACCATATTAGGCAGTTCACATCCAAATTAGCTGTGATGGATGCAGATTGATGTTTGACAAGCATTGAAATCTTTATCGTGCTGGACTTATGATGCCTCTAATCTTGAAATCCATTTTGCACTTGCATTCCTTTGTAATTCTGATTTGCATTCCTTTGTAATTATGATGTATTAAACTTCTTTATTCTGATTTGCACTACATTAAAAAAGGGCAAAATAGGAAATGAAATGGAAATATTTGCTAACCTTAGCAACTTCTATTAGCATCATTAACAGACAATAAACAAAAGGGGGAAAGCGAAATAGAAAAGTGAACCTCAAGGAAGGTTATTGTCATTTCAAAAACTTCAAGAGAGGTTTCTGTAATTATTATAGATCTCAGGAAAGCTCAGTATTATTTACCCTTAAATCTGTGTTATTCACTATTATTTTGCGCTACAACTTTGTTTATTTATATTTTTTTATCAATTTAATTTACCATGGTTGGCACTACAGAAATGATGCATAGCATTTCAATCTGTGGGTGAGGTTTGCTAAGTTTCAATCCCTTCTTACAAGGCATATTTTGAACTTCAATTCTTGAACTACCAAGTCCTTTTCCATTGGAAAGATGGCTCATCACATGTTACTTGAAAACGGAAATAATATTTGTTACCAGTTGGTTTTATTATTTTTATTATTTATTTATTTCACCTAAAGTTGTCATCAAACTCAATAAATAATCTTTATTTCTTCTAGCATCATCTTTTCCAATCCTGAAATTGTCTCTGCTGTTGGTGGGCTGCCTGCCCTCGGGCAATAGTCTGTCATTTTCTGGAGGATGGTCAAGACCTCTATCCTTTCTACGATTTAGGACTACTATTTAAGCCAAATGGCTGGCCAACTAATTAGTCTGTGCTTGGTCTTTTTGTTCCATAGCAACTCATGTGAAACATCAAGTTCACACTTTTCAAATGGTGGCATAGATTGTGGGAAGAGTTGGACCAAATGATTTATTTTTGACCTAGTTGATCTTGATTTGACAATTAGAATCAAATTTTGTGGTAGTTATATAGAGGTAGTTGTATATGGGCAATTTGGGAATGGAAAAAAGTGACAATTTACACTAACTTGAGTTGTACACTTCATATAATAGAATAGATGTAAATGCACGACCGTGTCACTTTTAGAATTTACATGTATGACCAAAAGGAGAGAGTATATAGTCAATATGTGGAAAAAAACAAAAAAGATTAGAGACACTCCGCAAAGCACGAGTGTAGTCAAATTGGTGTTTTAAGGGGCATCCGTAGCAGGATTGGTGAAAAAACACATGAAAGTAACGGGCTCCATGGAGTGAGACTTGGAGCTACTGTTTTCTAGTATTTCCTGCTTGATTTCTAGAAAGTAGTAGAAAAAAGTTGCGGTTTGGGCATTGCTTGCTTCATGAATTTATGTTGCTTGAAACTATGATTAGCACACTGAATGAATTCAAGCCATGGAATGGGAGTGGCCCTGTATTAGTTTGGGCTCATTTGGTTCAAATGCTCTTGGAAATTGTTTCCATAGTGTGCATAGTTTTGTGCTCATAACGAGTGCTTGTAGTGTTTGAAGTAGCCATTCTAATTTGGATTATAAAAAAACAGAGAAGAGCATCATTATAAAGTAGATAGATTAGGAAACAATTTACTGGAAGTGAAAACAGAATAATCATATGATAAAATAAGAGAAAGAGAAAAGTGAGAATTGTATTCAATTGATGTACTAACAACACAAAACTATGGGTATATATACAACTATGTTTGCTATGTACGAGTGTTGGGCAAGGGAAGAAAAAGGTAAAGATTGAATATACCTAATAGAGAGGAGTCTATAATCTAAATATGAAAGAGATACAATAGAATATTTACAGAGAATAATGCCTTGAGTTTGGAAACCAAATTTTGAAAACGTCCTAGTGGATGGGTTTTGCTGAAGATGTCAGCAATTTGATCAACAAAAGAAATAGGAAGAAGATGAATAGTGCCTTGAGTAACATGTTGACGAACAAAACGACAATCAATCTCAATGTGTTTGGTTTGATCATGGAAAATATCATTATGAGCAATTTGGATAGGACTACGATTGTCATAGTATAGAGAAGTGGCAATGGTAGAAGTAACACTTATATCTAAAAGTAACCAGCAAAGCTAAATGAGCTCCTAAGCGTTATCAACAAGAGCACGATATTCGGATTTGGTGTTGGAGCGAGAGACCAAGGTTTGTTTCTTGCTACGCCAACATATGAGAGAGTGACACAAGAAGAAACAGAATCTTGTGGTACAGTGAAGATCTGTCAGATCACCAGACCAATCAGCATCTGAATAGGCACGCAATGAGAGTGTAGAACTAGAGGAGTATTGGAGACCATGAAATGAAGATCCTTTGACACAGCGAAGAATTCGGAGCACAATAGCATAATGTGTAGATCAAGGAGCTGACAAAACTCGACTAACAGGGTGGACAACATATGCAATGTCAGGTCGAGTAATAGTGAGATAAACAAGACTGCCCACTAACTGTCGATACAAGGTGGCATTGGGAAGAGGTGTGCCATCTAGGGGTGATAGGCAACTATTAGGCTCGAGAGGAGGGGAGACAGTTTTGTTATCAGTGAGGCCAGCTTTTCCTAGAGGATCAAAAGCATACTTGGCTTGAGAGAGATAATAGCAATCGGAGCTAGAGGAGATCTCAAGGTCCAAGAAATATTTGAGAATACCTAGATCCTTCATCTCAAAGTGTTCACTAAGAGACTTTTTGAGCACAGAAATTTCGTGAACGTCATTACTGGCAAGAATCATATCATCTACATAGAGAAGAAGAGGAACAATACCATGCTGAGATTTGCGGATAAAGAGAGCAGAATCATAAGAGCTGGAAGAGAAACCAAGGGCCTGGATACGAGAAGCTTGTTTGAGTCCATAGAGTGTCTTTCGAAGTTTACAGACCTGATTAGGCAAGTAAGGATATCTTGGAGGTGGTTGTATATAGACTTCCTCTTGAAAATAACCATTCAAGAAGGTATTTTTGACATCCATCTAAAATAATGTCCATTTTTGAATGGCAGCAACAAGAAGTAAACTTTGAACTAGGGATCATCAAATGGCTCGCAGACAAAAAATCTAGTATTACCCAACTCGTCCAACTCGTCCCATGGCTCGTCCCAACCCGCTTGACTACCCAGCCCATCCAATCCCATCCCATAGAAGATGATTTAGAGCTTTGAACAATGGTTTGAAACCGAAGCTTGTCTACGAACCCAACCCATACAAATCTACCTGGGTAAATCTAGAAAAATAACATTGTTAAATTCAATTTTAATCCATTAAAATCAATACTGTTCCATTTAAAAAAACAACAACATTTGACAGCCCATATTATCCATGTAAATTGTATTTAAAAAAAAAAAAAAAACACAAAACACAATTTGTTAAAATTGAATTTGAGGGATCATCAAATGGCTCGCAGACAAAAAATCTAGTATTACCCAACTCGTCCAACTCGTCCCATGACTCATCCCAGCCCCCTTGACTACCCAGCCCATCCAATCCCATCCCATAGAAGATGATTTAGAGCTTTGAACAAAGGTTTGAAACCGAAGCCTGTCTACGAACCCAACCCATACAAACCTACCTGGGTAAATCTAGAAAAATAACATTGTTAAATTCAATTTTAATCCATTAAAATCAATACTGTTCCATTTAAAAAAACAACAACATTTGACAGCCCATATTATCCATGTAAATTGTATTTAAAAAAAAAAAAAAACACAAA